CCACGTGTGTGTTGACGACCGAGTAATCGTTCCGCTAGTGGAGAATGCCGATGTCCGGTAAAATATCTCGATCGTCGATGGTGAAACAAACAGCATGCAGCAAAAATACATCCGCGACACGACTAATCTAGCTATCAACGGAGTTTCACCTCATATTCATACACGAGGTTTACATTTGTTATATATCGATTAGCCGCCAAAACAAACTCGATTGGACATAAAAATAGCACTAACATACGGGTAGATAAATGGCAATTTCCCATTACATACTCGCGATACATTCAACGCTTAAATCCCAAGACCATTGCCGACCCATTAAACATTACACGAATTTTTATCCAAGTAAAGTACAGTTAGGCCCCCTTTCCCATTTGCATGCTTCCTCTCTTTTTTTATCTTCTTTCATATTATTATTTAAATTTGTTTATCTATTTTTATTCTATCTGTTTTTGACTCTTTTGTTGTTCTAATATTCAGTTCTGCTTGTGTGTTATATTTACTCTATATTTTTTTAATTGTATTAGACGCGCTTATTATAATCTACAAGGCGCTTACTATCTTTTACGGTAGTAAATGTTTATTGGGGGATATCAATCTGTTCGTGATCTTTCTCCCACAAGTTCTCTCAATCTTAACCCAGCATCAAATGCCCGCTCTCTCTCTCTCTCTCTCTCTCTCTTCTCTCCTCTCTCTCTGCTCGCTCTTACATCGTTACCGGTTTTAACACGCGAGCGTCTGTTAGCCATTATTAGTCCGCCGCCCCGATGATCGAGCTTACTCTAAAAAATAGCCCCTTGTTTACTAGCATTACCGTGGATGCAGCCACATTACTGCCAAATTGCATATCAGCTAATAGACAGGCCCGTGTCACGAGAGAGTGGTTACGGAACAATACTAAATAGTTTTAATAGAGGCGGGATGAAAGTGAAAGTTGTCTTTATACATCCAACGACGGTTATGTTCGGATACGCACTCTTTGTCTAGAATCCTGTTCTGACTTTACTCTCTGTCTGGCATGGTATCGCAGTCACGCATTCTCAGGCAATACAGATTACACAACTATTATGTAGTCTCTCTTGCCCCCCTCCCGCCTGACCCAAATTCTCCAAACACAGTTTTTGAATCTCTTTTTTTTGGTTAATATTTGATATTAAGTGCGTCTACCATTGTGTGGCCGCATCTGTCATAGAAAGCCACTGCACGATGATAGAGAGAGATACATCGATAACCCATCACATGCAACGCAACCTCGTTTCCCAGAGAGATCTCGTCAACGATTAAGGAAATCTAAGCTGTAAGATTCGAGTGTTTCCTACCGAGTGTTTGTGGCACAACGTTAAACAGTAGATGTGTATCAGGGATGTGTGCGTGTATCTATAGAGCGTGCGCGTGGGGTGGCCCCCTCTCTTCACTCTTACTACACTGCGCAGCAACAGGACGTGGCTGTTAAAGCCGTAAACAAGCAGGCAACGCGAGAGAAGTTGTTTAAGATCTGCTATGAAATTCAGCTCGCTAGTGCTGATGTACGTTAGATAGCAGGGCAACCCGACCCTCCCTCCCCAAAGCAACATGGCTTATAGCTAACACATACAGTCACTGTGCGCATCCTTCACCCTGCATCCACCTCACGTCTCCTACCCTGCAATACTTACAGTCCGCTAAGAACGCCTGGGAGGTCTTTTATGTCGCTCATCCAATAATCTCAGGTGTTAATCAATAGAGATTCTCGCTTCGTTATCTATTATTACACTCTCCACTAATTAATTATTGACATTCTATTCATTATCTTTAACACATTCTAACATATCTATTAATGACGTAATCATGATACTATAACCGAGCAAAAGTCATCGTGTAAGAGATGGGAGCAGTGAGAAATGTAGAAAGTAAGAGTAGAAAGTAAGAGATGGGAAGAGTGAGTGGGTAGATCGTGGTTGCAAACAACTAATCATAACACCAAGATTTACAGGGGTAGAAATGAACTTTTGAACACGGGAGCCCAACGGACTCCCTACCCTCAAAAAGAGGGAGTCCGCAGCAAAATGAGGAAGTCCGCAGTCTGAGGTTCAAAATTTAAGATATTAACAATAACACATGGGCTTATTGTAAAGATTCATGCGGTTGCACGTCTGCCGAATTTTCTTTGGACATTAGCTGAAAAAATATGGTAATTCCGCGAGGCCGTGCTCTGGAACGAACTAGTTAGTATGGCAGAATTTTCAGGGAATCACACGGACTCTTGCATATATGTCAAATCAGGGAGTCCGACAGTAAATCAGGGAGACCGACAGTAAATCAGGGAGTATTTGACTCCGAACTCCCGTTAATCCCCTGCAAGATTGAATAAAAATAAATTAGTTTTTCGTCATCCTTCATAACACCAGAATGTTGATCAGCAGTGATCGTTTCCCTGCAAAAATAAATGTGAACTGACGTATGAATTTCAATATAATTTCATAAATTTATCCCCCCGAATTTGATATTCAATGAATTTTATAAAATTATAAAAAATGATTCCTCCCAAATGTAATTCATAAAATCAATATGAAATTAAGAAAATAGGGATTTTTTACGATAAAAACAACCCCAACTCTAGACATATATAGCTGTACAGTATTGCTTCAGTGCTCTACTAGAAGCAGATGCAACCAGCGAAGGATAGCGTAACAAGACGCCTCGACATAGCCTGAACTACGCTGATCATGCGAGATGTACTCAACGTATTGATGCGTGCATATTTTTTCCCTCTCTAGCCACGGCACGTTCAACCTTGCTAACTGATGTAACTCAAGGCGAAAAACGCAAAATCGGAGATTTGGCACGTTCCATCGTTAACCCGACACTCTACAACGATCAACAACTCTCACCACGTGCTGCTGCTGCTGCTGCTGTTACTGCTGCTGTTACTACTGCTGCTGCTTCTGCTGCTGCTGTTACTACTGCTGCTGCTTCTGCTGCTGCTGCTACTGTTACTACTGCTGCTGCTGCTGCTGCTGCTGTTACTACTGCTGCTGCTTCTGCTGCTGCTGTTACTACTGCTGCTGCTTCTGCTGCTGCTGCTACTGCTGACTCAGAATATATCCGATTCAACACACACACCATCGGCGCGTTTACTCGAGTCATATCATTGTATACTCCAGATATACCCAATATATATATACATACCTAAAATTATTATTGACTTACAAGCCAATACCACATAAACTACATGCATGTAGACATAATAGTACTCTAGATAGCAGACTGATATTTGACTTCTTGCATTACATTAAAATTGTAACGTGTTGTTTGCTTGTAACGTGCATGTTCGATTTAGTATGGAAATTTACACACATGAATCATGGTTAAATAGGTGTGTGTGTGTGTGTGTGTGTGTGTACAATGTTGCGAGGCAAGTTGGCTCAGACACAAAAACTGGTTGTCACGACAGCAAGTGTCTAGTACGTACCAGTAATTGCACTCCTGTCATTATAAGCATTTATGCCATGCACTTGATTCTTGAACCGTGTGAAAAAACACATACTACAAACCGAACAGCCTGTGACTACTAGCTGCCACCAAACGAGAAAACAATGCAGGAATGTTACATTTCAGGTCCGTGAAAGTGTGCACGCGTCAGACAGCCATATACACACCATGTCTCTTTTAAAACGGTGCAATATATGATTACATCTTACCACCTCATAAATAACAGGTTGCCGTATTGAGGGCGCATATAGATGAGTGTATAAATGATACCCCATATTCAATTACTGTTCATTTTATATTATATCAGGAAAATTCCATTAATGCAAAATATACACCATAATAAACATTAAAATAATAGTACTTAGTAGGGTACCTTAATTATCATTTTATAATAAATTAATACAGAGAAGAGCACAGAAATTACATGTTTACAGTTTATGTTAACAGCTTATAAGTTATATGTGGTCTCGATTTAAATTGTGAATATATGTATAAAAGTTTCGCTGACACTTAGTCAGAACCATAGTCAGAACGATCTAACCTACCCTGAAGCATTTTGTACGAGGTACGCGTACAGTCGCTCATTCTCCCTTATCACCACACACATCTCAGAATTCCTACGCCTATTACTAAATATACCATTTAAAGGCGTGCATTATTAAAGTATGGACCACGAACAGGGGGTGAACTGTGCGGGAAACTAACGGACAAAACATGAAAACGATTAGTAATTTACACACGTATACCTCATTATGAACATAACAATAACACTCACCCGCGGTTACACGCCAGTAAACGATGTTATCCATAGATTCTCACACCGGGGAAGTGTGCTATTAGTAAATTATGTCATTAAAATAATTACTAACATATTTATAAATCCAATAATATAATCATTTGGTTTGCCGATCACAAAATGTGACACCACATACGTAATAATAAAGTAAATTCCAGGTGTGCTGCGTGCACAATAATTATATTATAATATCAAGCGTACATAAATAATAGGATTATGTAGGCCTATTCTCTATTATGTACTCTTGATATTATATATATATTCTGCATGTACGCAACACGTGTTATATATATGCGGCAGCAGGACTTACCATGTTCAATATATCATATATCCACGAAATCGGCAAAAGCACGCTTTATGTCGACTTGAATAGGAATAATCCTAATTCGCTCAGCCAGGTATAACAAACCGCGATCACATATACCGGTACTTATAGTTATACTTATAGTTATAGTTACGGCCTCACGGATCGCGTTCTAAACGTTTTCAAATCAATGAATTGAGGCGTCTATACAGAGAGAAAATTGCGATTGAGTTTTCGTTACCAGTTCAGTTCAACGCAGATAAGGAGTAAACAGTAAACAAGAACAATCAGTATTTACCTGCGCCTCACGGCACACTGCAGACGAAACGAACACACTGCAGCTTATGTTCAAGTTGAAGTTATGCGTCCAGGACAAACTAAGCGATAAAGTAAAATTTTGGCAAACTTGTACTTCTTATAGTCAACATTACATAGAAATCGTCCAACCAACATATTACAACTAAATCTAAAAAATTACAAGAAGTATTTGTGCTACATTACATCTAGTTATTGATTCCCGCGATACTAAAACATTTCAGGTAAAAACATTGCACACATCCATAGGTTATGTCTGGCACTGTTATGGTATCACGAGACAAAATGGCGACTTCGATTTACAGGGAGTCTACCTGGGCGAGAAGAGATGGCACGGAACCGCTTCTACGGGGAGCGACTTCTGGCATCAGCGTCAATAACGATAGTGATGATATAACGGTATGTTCGAATGAACTGTTACAAATTACGGTGTCTATTCGTGTAGCCGAACAAATGTTAGACGTGTACACTGTACTGTATGGCGATTTTACATTTTTTCAGCGTTACAGTCTCAGTCTCTCACTCTCAGTCTCTGTTTATACGCCTGTCATTCACGCACTACTCACAAATTTTCTTACAATCTAGGTTGTGTATTCCGAGTTTGTTCATCATATTTACCTTCATTTCCCACCTAATGGCGTTACTTGACGTTCCTGGCTCGTTTGATGAGGTTATCATGCACTTGACTTGGTAAAACCGTCCGTGAAATGCAGTGAAACGCCGCTAAAATTAGTTTACTAGTACTACCCAAAAGTTATCGCACAGTATGTCAGTATGGTTTGTTCACTGTCCTTAAGCTGGTTGCGTGTGTCCTGCTACTCTTACGTTGTCTGACTGATCCTGCTCATTGTCAAAACATCTGTGCTACAACTGTGACAAATCCCACACTAATTGACACACTGCCATTCCGGTTTAGACAATGCCTGTAGCTGGGTGCTAATGATTGCCAGTGTGGTTTGTGTTTGTACACTGATTGCGTTGAGGCAGCTGTACTGGTAGCCTCCTGGCCTGGAAAAATCAACCTGGGTAAATGCAGTAAAATCTTGTTAGGTGTAGAAGAGATATCGTGTAATAATGCTGGTGGATGGCGAACAGATGTGTTGAGCACATCAAGAAACTAGGTGTGGAATATATTCTTATGCAGTACCAGTTTTTACCTGTGTGGTTATGAGTAGTTCAAATTTTAACCTGCTCTGTGTTCTTATTGCATCTTAAATACACCAGGTAAAGTGTGGTAGTGAAGAAAGTTGCTGGCTCTTATCTGTGGCTGTGATAACATGTCACAGCATATATATATTCATCATGAGCATCGCTTTCTGTAGTTTGACAGTAGCAGCATTGGAAGCGCGGGCGGTGCGAGAGATTCAGGATTCCTTCACACTAGACGCCGTCAAAGAAACTCTAGCAGTTCCAGTTGCGAGTCAGTAGACAACAAAGTCACGGCGAATGGTCACTTGCTGTCAAGCCGCTACGAGGTACAGTTGACCGATGCGTTACTGTAGAGTTGATATTTTTCATGATATTGTGACTTAATTAGATTATTGTTTGTAGGGATCATATCGTGCTAATCATGTGTCGTGTTTTCTCTTAAGAGTTTAGACTATGAAGAGTGTGAGAATACCCTGTTCTTGGAGGAAGAAAAGCAAAAGGGATATAAGGTATGCAATACCCTAAAGTTATATGTCTTGTAAAGTTATGTAGCCACTCATAAGTGAATTAAGCGTGTGTGTGCATGTGTATAAGAGAAAGAAGAATAGACAAGATTGCCAGAGAGATATAAATGTTGTTTCTATGTATGTAAGTGTATTATTTAGCAGAATTTGAATATTGTTATTTGTTATCGTAATCTGACATTCATGAGTTTGTGTGTCCTAAACACAGCAGTCAGATGAATGTTGAAGATTACAACCAGTTAGTAGTAACCTTGGGTGAATTATCATATTTTTTATTTAAATCATTATTAATTAATTGATATTGTTGTTGCTGTAGTTTGTCGCGTGGAGGCAGGCTAATCGCTGGTTCGTGATGCTGGTGGTGGGAGTGCTGACAGCGATGGTTGCTTGCTTCATAGACATCTTCATCCAACTAATCGCTTCCTTCAAGTACAAGAACATCAAACACTGTATCCTTCACCTGCTAGACTCGCAGCCTTAACGCTACCCCAGCACCAGCGCAAAACCTGCAATATCATGTGATGCACATGATAGTAGAGTTTAGGATGTTCTAAATTCACGTGGAGTAGAGCAGCAGTAGGTTTAAATAGATTCAAAGGCTTATGTGTATTGAAGCAGCTATATATAGAGTTGAAAAACACTTATTCCTTACTTGGATGTCTTTGGTGCCATTTCCCAAGGTGAAAAATGGTCTACCGTTTCACGCCGACAGTTATTGGAAGCGTAAAGATTTATTCCCGTAGTAAAAAAAAAACCACTGTGGTTTTGTGTATTAACTACGGAAACACTAAATAAGTACTAAGATGTCCAAGAAAAACAGAAACGTTCATTGCTTGTCCTGATTTGCATTCCTTTGCAATCACCTACGGTTCGTAAAACCAGTGTCAACTACCTAATTGTTTTCACAGGGAGTATAATCAGCCATATTCCCCAGTATAGTCTGTCGCAATAGTTTAGATAGCGATTAGTTGAGTGTGACATAAACGAGTCTGGTGGGGGTTGAGCGAACCCGTAGTAGTCGTAGCTGAACAAGTTTTGTGGATTAATTCGACTGTGGGAAGTTACATTTGCCGCGGCTGTTTGCACTGAAGGCTATCATATAAATCACTATAATTCGTCTGACAGGTTGCCCCACTAATCCTAGTATACGGAATTTTAGAAATGAAAGTATTCCCTCCACCCCCCAAAAAAATACCATAAAGAAGTTATGGAGAAGTGCAACTAAAGTAAACGCTTGCCGCAAGGTTTTCCCCGCCGACTTCTTTCGATGTGATGTTGTTTGAATGTTTCTTAACATGGTTAAGTCATGGATCGCTGTGTGGATGAGGGATGTCTACTCTACCCCTACCTCATGTGGCTGGCATTCAATGTAGTGCCTGTGGCTTTGGCTGCCATACTTGTTACGTTTGGCGAGGTAGGTAACAATTAAGAATAGCAACAATAATAATTTTTTATAATATTCATAATCTAAATAATAATTAATAGCCCCATAAGGTTCATCATCCCAATAAGATCAAAAATCATTTTATACAATAAGATAAAATGAAGTAATTTGATAAATCTAGAATGCCGCTAACCAATGCTTTAATTGTATAACTAATTAGGATTAATTAATTAATTAATGCTTGTTCATCTACACAGCCATGCGCCGCTGGGAGTGGAATTCCTCAGATCAAGTGTTACCTGAACGGAGTGAAGGTTCCTTACGTTGTGCGGTTCAAGACGCTGGTAGTCAAGGCTGTAGGTGTGATCTTATCCGTCTGCGGGGGACTGCCTGTTGGCAAGGTATGCCGATACGACTGTCTCCCACTCTACTGGAGATGGGGTTATGTGGTAGGGTTAATGAAAATAACATAGTAAACATTAACATTGAAATGACGTTAGAGCATTTAGCAGTATCATGCAGTGAAAACTCCTGTGTTCAAGAGTTTTCTGTATTGTCGTTGTTTCATGTTATATATGTCTAATCCTGATCTACTCATCAGCTGGTCATGAAGTTGCTTTGTAAGCTCGTGCTGTTGAACTAGGAAAGTTATTTTCAATTAAATTCAAATGAATTATAATTTATATGCAGGCGTTGACGGCAGTGCGATGACTTTAGTTTGAGAGAGCGCGCGAGTGTATTGTATGGTCATGAACGTTTGTACGTTGTTTATTGCAGGAAGGTCCCATGATTCACTCCGGAGCAATCGTTGCTGCCGGCGTGTCACAGGGTAGATCAACGACATTCAGACAAGACTGTAAGGTAATACACCGCTAATGATCCCGTGTCTCTCTCTACCTCGCCACCTCTAATCAGGATTAGTCACTTTAGAAGAACAAAGGGTGAAATGGATGTAAGATTGATGTTAAAATGGCAGAGAAGTTTGCGTGCACGCCGTGCGATATATCTCTCCTCGTCGTTAGCTTGGAGAGAATGAGTGTAGGTTTCGCCCGATGATGAGTCATATCCTTGCTCGCGTAGTAACGTTCGTCTGCACGCGTGCGGTGGGATGTTGTGCAGACATGAATGGCTCCTGACTGAACAGCTATGTGAGCGTCAGTCAGACTGAGGGCTGGGTCGTCACCGCGACAATTAAAAGCTATGAGAGGTGCAAGAGGTTTCGTAAATGAAATTTCAGTGTGACTCGAATAGTTTCAGGGTTTTTAGATTCAAAATTTAAAGCCAGGGTGTTCAGATTGTGCTTAAAAATTTTTTCATACACATAATACCAATTAACACCAAAAATACATAAATAAAAGGGTTAATTGTTATCTTCCACTAATTACTGTCTTCTGTTATTCTACTGATACTAATTAAAAGATACCATGTTTGTAAAGCTTTGCGCGACACATGTATTTTGCACAACAATTTACATTGCACACACATTTAATTGACAGCTTGCTGTCACTGATTTACAAGCTGAATACATTCGTTGGCACAAGCATTCAGTACCATGCGTGCAAAGCAAATATTTGTCAATGCAGTAAAAATACACCATTAGCTTAATTATTATTGGGGGATTCTAGCATGGACTTTCTTCATGTAATGAAACGGGAAAATTGAAATAATGAGCTGAAATGTTGGTTAGTTATGCTACACGTTTTATCTCTCGCTTTAAATAGTGTAATCCTAATGTTTACGTGTCATGAGAAACTCAAGCAAGATAAAGTATATATAATATAACAACTTTTAATTACACCTAATGTTATCGCTGGTCTCATTTTTTTAATGCGATAGAAAAACAGAGGAAGAAAGATAGAATGGAAGTACGACGATTCCAGTAATATGTTCAGTATCAAGTGAAATCGTGTCTGCTTTCAGTTGTTCTCCTACTTTCGCACAGACCATGAGAAGCGTGACTTTGTGTCTGCCGGCGCCGCTGCGGGCGTGGCGGCTGCCTTCGGTGCGCCTGTTGGTAAGTACCGAGATGAGATCGAACATTTGGTACAGCAGGTCAGAGTGCCTAAAGTTAGCTTATCGATATCTTTTGTTTTAGTTTACTAATCGTGTCTGTTTCGATCCTTCTCTTTTTTTATCTTCTCTCATTTTCTGTTCAGCTTGTCATTGAAGACAGACAAGCTACACAGATTATACTTGTATAGACATAACCTAACCAAAGATTGTTAGAATCTGAGCAGGGTAGGGCGAGGGAGACTGAAGTAAATGCTAGATTATCATTATGCTTCTCATACTGAATGTCATCTTGTCTTTAAAACAGGTGGTGTTCTGTTCAGCTTGGAAGAAGGTGCAAGCTTTTGGAACCAGAGCCTTGTCTGGGCAATTGTACGTCAATCTCAATTTATTCTTACACATCAAGCTATTAAAAATAATGATGATGATGATGATGATGATGATAATAATAATAATAATAATAATAATAATAATAATAATAATAGTAATTGATAAATTTAACAATACAGTAATAATAATATGAATCATATTATTATTATTATTATTATTATCATTACTATTTCTACTACTACTATGACAGTTTTTCTGCTCGATGCTCGATTATTATTATTATTGATATTATTATTATTGTTACCATGACAGTTTTTCTGCTCCATGATCTCCACCTTCACCCTCAACGTTGTGCTGAGTATGACGGAGACCGGTCAGACGGGAGAACTCTCCAACCCTGGCCTCATCAACTTCGGCAAGTTTGAGGTAAGCCGGCCGTCCGTCTGCAACGCGCCGCTCTCTCCCCTGTCGAATCTATTCTTACTTTTCACTCTTGTTGCCTTCTGTTTTATACACGAATAAGGGAGAATAATGTAAAATGTAAAAAAAATTAAAATAGATAAAATAAATCTCAGTGCTCAGGTATAACTATAGCGCTTCTTGAATATATTCTACTTGTTTTGGATATGAAGTAAGAGATGAAGGCATAACAATATGTCACACTTTAAATCTTTGTAATGAAACTCAAGAAAAGATTTGCTTAGAAATTAGCGAGCACGCCCTGCAATGTCTTTCCTCGTCTGGGAGAATGTCGTTAGTTGGGAGAGAATGAGTGTAGGTTTCGCCCGATGATGAGTCATATCCTTGCTCGCGTAGTAACGTCCGCCTGCACGCGTGCGGTGGGATGTTGTGCAGACATGAATGGCTCCTGACTGAACAGCTATGTGAGCGTCAGTCAGACTGAGGGCTGGGTCGTCACCGAGACAAGCTCGGAGCGCGCGTTAATTATGAAGTGCGATTGCAGGGGGGGGTGGGGGGGGAGGGGTTCGTGAGGGTGGTACCCCGGCTCGCTGCCGCGTGGTCGGGTGGAGGTTGATGACGCGGTTCCTGGTACGGAAGCGCGGTTTCAAACCTCGGAACTCCGCTCGATGTCTGCAGACGATAAAACTTCCTAACCCTTCGTCGCTCGGCGGCGGCGGAGGCAGCGTGTCTCGTTAGCACCCGTTCTCCTAACGAGACTCGCGGCTGTCTTACCTCGTTAGTCTCTGCGACTAATGCGTGTTTTTTTTCCGGCGGCGGCAGAACATCGTTTACCAGTTCTGGGAGATCCCGGTGTTTCTGCTGATGGGAGCTGCTGGCGGTCTTACCGGCGCCCTCTTCAACCACATCAATTACAAGCTGACGATATTTCGGATGAGGTAACGATGACCCTTAATTAACAACCCTTTTTAATTGCCGTGTCGCTCATTACCGGCTGCCCTGGGAAACGAGTGTTGCACCGGTTTTGGAATCGCTGGTGCGTGAAGTGTCGCTTGATGGGTTGGGCTCACAATGGCATTGTTCACCGTGACTGATACTCAAGTGTGATGATATATAGCCATTAACGCTGTAATATATGGTACCATGTTACATTTGATTAATTTTACATTTACATTTATTATCGCATATTATTTTTACATCGCATATATTATATTTACGCGGTTTCTAGTTTCTACTACTTCATTGGCGTGTAATCTTGTTGGTTTGTCGCAGGAAGCTGCACAGGAAGTGGATGCAGATAGTCGAGGCGATGTTGGTTTCTGCGACGACGTGCACGGTCGGATTTCTCATGATCTATGGAATTGAAGACTGTCACACCGTCGGAACTGACCCTATCCAGTATCCACTGCAGGTGCTGCAACCTTCATTACTACATTAATGAGCTTCACTAGACTAGATATTAGTGGCGAGGTGGTGAGGGATTATTATTCCTACATCCCTACCTCACTGTTCCTCATTATCTCGCTCGTGTGGATAACAATAGAATTGATAGAATATACATTAGTATATACATTATATACATTAGTATATACATTATATACATTATTATATACATTAGTATATACATTATTACTTATTATATACATTAATATACATTCGTCTATACATTTATCATTATTATATCATTAGTATTCATTATATCATTAGTATATACATTATATACATTATTATATACATTATATACATTAGTATATACATTATATACATTATTATATACATTAGTATATACATTATATACATTAGTATATACATTATATACATTAGTATATACATTATATACATTATTATATACATTATATACATTAGTATATACCATTATATACGCTTAGTATATACATTTATCCAAAAATTACATATCATTGTTATTACATTACATACCATTAGTATATACCTTAGTATCTACATTATATACATTAGTTAATACTTATATCAATAGTATATACATTATATACTTATTATCCATTAGTATATACCATTAGTATATCTTATATACATTATTATATACTTATATAGCCTTAGTATTACATTATATACATTATTATGATACTTAGTATTACATTATTAGCATTATTATATACTTATATACATTGTATATCCATTATCATACATTAGTTATACATTAGTATATTAGCACTTATATACTTAGTATATAACATTATATACATTTAGTAATACTACATTATATAGCATTAATTATATACATTATATACATTAGTATATACATTTATACCTAGTATATACATTATATACATTATATACTTTAGATATATACATTAGCATACTTAGTATACACATTAGTAATCATTTATACAATTAGTATAGCATTATATACATTAGTACAACATTATTACTTAGTATACATAGTAATATACATTTATATACATTAGTATATACATTATTACATTAGTATACATTATATCCATTAGTAT